TCACACAGTGCCACTGTCGTCACGCAGTGCCACAGTGGTCACGCTGTGCCACAGTAGTCACGCTGTGCCACAGTCGTCACACAGTGCCACAGTCGTCACGCTGTGCCACAGTCGTCACACAGTGCCACAGTCGTCACGCTGTGCCACAATGGTCACGCTGTGCCACAATGGTCACGCTGTGCCACGGTCGTCACGCAGTGCCACAATGGTCACGCTGTGCCATTGTGGCACAGTGCCACAGTCGTCACGCTGTGCCACAGTGGTCACGCTGTGCCACGGTCGTCACGCAACACCACAGTCATCTCGCAGCACCATAGTCTTCAGCCTATTAGTCCCAGTTAAAATGTTCCAGTTGAAACATCACCCTCAGAATAAATGCGGAAACTCCGCAATACGTATTATCTTTAGATTTCGTTTACCTACGAAATCGTCCGTAAAGTAATTCATCCGAAAAATATCAGTACGACATATGCACTGTTGTCGTCTACACTGAACTTTAAGATAAGGTATCGGTTGTTATAGTAATTACGCAAAGAGATTGTCCGAATTACAGATAAATTTTTCATCCGTTGCTACCTTAATATTTGTTTATTTTGACCCCAATTTCCGATTCCACACGGTTTCGATATAAATTTCATAAACAGCATTTATAACAGCTTTACATCGTGCGTAATAGCAGGTATAGTCTAATTTAGCTAAACGTCCGTTATCGCACATTAACAAAATTAAATTTCCGATTTCACAACTTGACGAAACTCTCTAAAATTGCATACTTTCTACACTTTTGATCTGTAAATTTGGTTTCCGTATTTTGGAGCGGAATGATATAGACTTCACATAATCGTGTTCATTGTAGTATGATGTTGTAAACCAATTTATTTGCACAGTGGATACGCCGGAGCAAACCACTATAAGAGTCACGAACACGAGTACCGCGTTGTTGCATATCTAGTTATGATGAGTATGTCAGATATTGTATAACATACGAGTAAACAAGGATGATCGCACCGACCACCGCCACGGGCTATTGTCAGTGGATCGGTAGTAACCCCGAGCGATATATAGCGACTAAAACCACGTTGATATGACTCCCATTTTAATATAGATTATGGGAAAACGTATAATGTTATTTTTGAAAACATCAAAACGGTAAACGGCGCCAGAAACGTTAAGTTTATTTTATTAAACTTCAGTCTAAACCTAATTATAAGTGCAATAAATACAAAACTACGAACAAATATGTAGCTGGACTTTTTTTTAAATTACTTAAAGTTCTAAAAATTATCACTATTATCATTGCTGAACAATTCATTAAAAAGAGACAGGGCTGTGAGAGTGAAGTTGGAATTTTTAAATTGACACGAAAGTTTTGAATTCATTGAATTGTGTTTATCTTGGGAATCGCTCACGTGTGGGTATCTTCTATACATGTCTCCGTTATACGGGGAATGGAGAAGACTGTTGTCACTGTCAATGGTGAAATTTAACGATTTTCTAGCAGAATGGTGATCCGATCAAAACAAAACGAAACAATACCGTTTATTTAAGTGAAATAATGAAGTTCATTTGGTGGATATGTGGCCATTCCCACACTAGAACATCATGATGCAGCAACTTTCGATCCCACGTATCCCACGAATCCGGTCGCAGTGCGTGACAAGAATTTTGCGATGTAAGCGATGTCCACATTAGTGTCACTTGGTTATGTCTGTTGTGCACGGCAGTCAGAGGAACCATTCAAACGTTCAGGAAACATCCTTCTCGAGTGGGATAGCGTGCTTATTTAATGAATTGATATATAGAGGAGTTGCTGTCAAAGATATTGATAAAGATCGTACGCACGGTACATATGTCATGCTAATTGAGACACTTCTAGGGAGAATCGAACCGATTTACTAACAAAACAGAAGTTATTTTTTAGTTGTTGAAAGATTTTTCCGCTGAATTATGGTAACCATGTGAAAGCGACTTGACTAAATCGTTGGGGCGTGCTGCGAAATGATGTGTATATGACGTTTCTTGACAATATGGATCGGGAACATAGGCTTCCTGCAGCAATCATCGAAAGCGCCAGAGAGAGCCACTAGCAAAAATCGTTAGAGACCCGGAAAATGTCAAAAATTATGTCAGGATATAAAAAATCGTTTCACGTGGGGCTCACTTTCGATGCTAATGTGGACGTTAGATTATGACTGAAAATGGCCGAGTGCTCTGTTGCGTGTGTTTGAATCTGATGGATGCTGATATTACTGCTAAGTCCGCTGCCCCCCCCCCCCCGTGTAGGATAGCGAAGTAATGTTTTCTTGGGCTGTTTACCATTACTCGCGTAATTTACCATGGATGTAAAAAACTACTATATCGATCAAACTGCGTTCTATACTCACTCAAGCATCTGTTATTTCTCATGATCCATGCGCATGCGCTATAACGGCTCCCGATGCTAAGACTTTCTTTAGCCAATGCCGAGGCTGCTTGGCAGTTGTTTCTTCCAATCAAAAGCGAACATCAGTAAGCAGACCTGCCTCGATTGAAATAGTTTGAGTAAGTCGAAAAGTTATATAAGAAACCAATGAGAACAAATCACCCAAAAACATCGTAGTAGTACAGATCCCGAGCATCATAAAAGTCGGTATCGAGACACTCTTAAGACAAATTGACAGCATCTATCTTCTGGGGTTTTATTACTGACTCGTTCTCACTTGAATCAACCCAACTCACCATGGCACATAAAGGTAAGTACAATTTGTTGAAATTGGCGGTGAGTTTATGCTTGTGTGTAAGAACTGCCTTTGCGAATCCGTATACTAATATCATCCACATGATCTAATCCAGAGTGCCTTCCGGCATGGATCACATTGAGTAATAAAGTCAATACGCAAACCAATCTGTGTAACACAGTAGCATTGCCGGTACTTGAGTTGAACCAGCCATCCAGACGCGTGCTCAGCGCGTGTTTCACAGTTGTTTTTTTTTCACTTTTATACAATCTACCTGAGCCACGCGTTTTTATTTCGCTAATATGACAAGGTGATTGTCGTCATAAAACTGCATTGTTTTTTTTTAACATCTTCAATATGTTTAGCACGCATATTATATATTCATTCACCCCCGCCGTTCATCGCTTTGTTTTATAATCACCGCTCTTTAATTGCAAGACTTCTCGCCGACAATTGTACAATACCACAAACACTGCATTATTGCCCTCTCTTAATGAATTATATAAATATTCTTATTTCGTTTGTTTAAATGCCTTCGGCGCATTACGGTGTCATCATTTTTATCGAAAATAAAAAGTAAAAAGTACTAATAGCACAGATGTAGAGCATGCTCGACAGATTTATTTATTAAATTATTTATGTGAAAGCAACGGTGTGCGTACGAGGCAAAGAGACTATAAACACGGTATCATTTGAACTCAAAATTGTACAGATTCTTCTTTTTGTTTCTATCCGTGTTTCAAGCATTGCATGTGAAAAGAAAATGAAATTTATCTTCACTTCTTTTGGAGACGTAACTGGCAGATGCAATTTTCTTTTGGAATTATATCTCTATTTCTAATAGACCATTGGGTTGCATGTAGATCGTAGCCTAGCAACTTACCTGATCTCAGTTCTATAACTGGAACAGATTTTCATGTTACAAGTCAAAGGAATTCTAATTATTGAACTCAATGATCAGTCAATTTTTTTGTCAGGGCGAAATATCTATTTTCTATAGTCAGACATTTTTTCTCGATAATAACATTGCGGCGAAGACGCGGCAAGATGATGCAATATTAAAAACTGTCGATATTATTTAATGGTACCAACTCTAACTCGGATTGAACACGGATCGAATTGTATTTGCGGGTTGCGTTTAATGACCCGTATTTCAGGTTTTGTTAGTGTTTGTTGTTGGGTAGGGTTACTAAAAATGAAAGGTATTGAATGCGGCAAACCTTGAAGCGCCGTAGTCGTCGTGTGGCGCGTTCGAATATCGCGTAAAAAGCGACGTATTTTACACGCGTTGTATACGTCGCGTGGGACGCACGTCGAACACGACGCGGTGCAACACTGTTGCTCTTTAAGTTCTTGTAAAACTTTTACTGGTAACTACTGCCTACCAAAAATCGTAATATACTGTAGAAAAGAGCGGTAATTCCTTCGGCATACATGTAAGGTTGACATACTACGGAAAGCAATCAGTCATCTTGTTTTTTCATTTCATTAAAACAACATTTATCGGCATATTTAAGTTAAATATTTTCTATTTCACATATCGATGTTTTTAATGTTAGAGTCGATAATTGTAAGTGGCATACATTACACGACATGATGCCTCGAATCGACAGACAACCAGGACGCCGCGAACACACATTTGGCGGTCATGATGTGTGACAAAGTGCGCTATTAACCAACTGATGATTTCATACTCTATAATCTGTAATGTATTCATCAGTCTACTTACATATAATTTGTCTATTCTAGTTTGTAAGTTTGGCACTATAATATATTGAGTTAATAGTTACCACGATTGTTTCAATTTTATACAGAAATTCGTCTATTTTCTATGGTAGTTCGTCTTCTACGGCAGAAAGTGTAGTTTCTTCAGCAAATCGAACGGTATATTTTTTGATGAAAGCTGTGTATGTTCAAATGCAATTTCCCACCGTAATAATTCACCTATCGCAATTCAACCGATTTCTACTGCAGTTCGTATTTTACCTACTGCGAATTGTACATGTTCTATCGCAATTCCAACAGTATATTATCTACTGTTAGGTGTCATATCGAGTGGGTCGATTTATTATTTATTTTGGATAAGAATTTAATTAGCAAAAATACTTAAAACATATTTTCAATGTAATGTCTCCTGTGCCAGATCACTGTGGTACCTGCGTTAGTTCACATTCCCGTAGTGGACACCGCACCAGACCACGTTCCTGTTGTTGACCCTGCGCCAGATCACTCACTGTGGACCTCTGTACCAGATCACAATTTATAATGTGGACCCCTGCGCCAGATCGCCCACTGAATGCCCGCGTGAACGTTTGCGTCAGATAAATAACACAAACTCCAGGCAAAAGTATTGTGAATTTTTATTTATTTAGAAATACTGTGTGTTTTTTTTTGTAATATAGATGTTCATTAATTATTTCATTACTTTGAAACATTTTGTGCAAGTAAAAATACACAGCTTGTTAACATGCAAATGAGGTTATTCAAGTTGGTGTAAAGAAACTAAATTTACTTCAGAATTTGGAGATATTGATGTACCAAAGTCAGACAGAATTCAAGTATGATTCAATTAGACGGGCAATAAAAATGTTAATTAAGTATGAAGGAAAATGGTCTTAATCGAATGAATGATTTGGAGATGTCGATGATATAGAATATTTCCACTGACTCAAATGATGCCGACAGGGAAACAGAGCAGACAGATAGACAGATTTTCAGACAGTCATGGCTATACAGCGAAAACAACTCAAAGTGCTGTGCTCCGAGAGAGTGGCCGGGGTGATATAAATGGGTGATAGGATGTATTCGATAATTGACAGTATTGCTAATCATTAAAGAAAATATAGAAATGAAGAGAAAAACTTGTCAAACTGATTCACTATATTTCTTGTTTGATAGGACAAGGCGGTATCAACCAGCTAGGAGGAATTTTCGCCAATGGTCGACCATTGCCATTTCATACCAGACATCGTATCCTCGAGCTAGCTCACCTCGGCCTTCGTCCCTGTGACATATCGCGTCAACTTCTCGTCTCCCATGGCTGTGTGAGCAAAATACTCAGCCGATATTCTGAGACAGGGTCCATCTTACCAGGGGCCATCGGTGGAAGCAAACCACGCGTTTCCACGCCAGAAGTCATTGAGAGAATATCCGACTACAAGCACGAGAACTCTTCTATGTTTGCATGGGAGATACGTGAACGACTTCTGATCGAAGGTGTCTGCACCAAAGAGAATTTGCCGAGCGTGAGCTCTATTAATCGCATCCTCCGCAACACCACGATGCAGGTCGGAGATGCGAGCCAGGAAGATTCAGGAGACATCGAGAAAAACACCGACCATCAAGGCGAGAGGTCACACGATAAACCCGCATCGTTTACAATAGAGACCATACTTGGTAATGACATTGGCAAAAGAAAGAGGAAATTGTCGGAATCGGAGGTGAGCAGTAACAAACAAGAGAGAGGTGAGTCTGACTATTACTGGTCTGTTACACCATATACGTTAGAAAACATATAAATACTGTCCGTATGCCATCACCCCGACCCCACTTTGTAAGTGCAGGTTTGTTGTGTCATTGCAAAGTTAGAGTGACAAATAACGTCGTGTAACATTGACGTTGTGGAATGAAATAGGAGGTAGGACTGATTCCTATACAGTGAGGCCTCTAACAAGACTATTTTTGTAGAAATTCTGCGTGAGTCAAAGTGGAATCCCGAAATCAAGATGAGTCAGCTTGTTGACTGCTCGAGAGATCGGTATCAAGAATGATTGTACAGGTGACTTAAGGCACAAACAAAAATTGTGAAGCTCCTGATTTCCTTCGTATTTACTTATTTTTCGACTTCATTTTACCAAATCACAAATTGCATAACTAAGATGGTTTTTTTTTAAGATCAATATATCAGTGTATTATTTTCTGTTGCGTTAATGATGCGCCAGCGAATTAACCTGGCATCTAGTTGCATCACAACATGTTTTTGTGCGTCATTCTCTAATGTATGATGTACAGAGTTCTTGTTCGTAGCCAGAATATAGTAACCTTTGAGCAACAATTCCTAGTTTAAAGAAATCTGCACGGGTTTTTTAGATATAAAGTGGATAAACTTGAATAATCTTCATATATATAAATCAATATTGTGAGGATGATGATGATGAAGATGATGATGATGATGAAGATGATGAAGATGATGATGTCCCATTGATTACTGGGAAAAACTACTGACGACGTGTATCATATCACCCAGAAATTGGAGTAGGGTTAATACTTTGCCAGTAACTTGTAATAATTGAGTTATACACGCCGAGTTTAATTGCCCAGTAACGTGTTTACTTTACAACGCGTTGGCTGCATTCATTGCCGGTTTAATTGACGTGCTCCTTTTCATGATGCCTCTACACTATCGCTGCTTCGATCACTCACAATGGAAACAAAACAAAGGTGCTCACTGTAGCTGTCAAGTTGCATGCCAAGCTTTTCTTCTCTATTGAACTTGGTTCTTCTCCGTTGAAATACTTAACAAAAACCACACACACATGTCTCTGCGGAAAGACTGCTATCGGATTGGATGCATTACATTAGTGTTTGAAAACATAATTACATTGTTCGCTCATTGTGCTATATTGACATAAAGAATTGTAAAACGTTGACACGTGTGCAAGCTCACAGGACACATTGATCTACCTTCGCGTTCCTTATTTGTTTTTGTAATCAATATTATGATATTTATTATTATCAATGATTAGTGCCTTGCACTGTAGGTTATAGATATTATTGGAAATACATCTCTCGTGTACGGTCCACTTCGATTTTCCACATTATTCTAAAGAATCGCCTGTGTTAACCAACCCATGTGCTCTACATGAAAACTGTTGCTGACTTTTGTTGTCAAAGTTTAACTCAGATCACAAATAAATAACATCGATGTGTTTGATTGTTTCTTTATCAGTTCAAATGCAATGTTTATCAGCACACAGCTTTCAGTCTATGTTTTTTTATTTTACAGGGGACAAGAAAATGTGTAGAATGCACGTAGACAAAATAAATGACGTGAACATTGACACCAGTGCCCCGTTGCCAAAGGTGAGTCAATCCACAGTGCCTGTAATTGAATGTTCCACTGTATAAACTGTATTCTCTCCAATATCTTACATGAACTAGAGAATGAATTATACACGTGCAATGCATATTATACCGGATATGCATACCGAAGCGTTATAACCCTACTCATAATAACTGACAAAGTTGGTTATACATCGCATGACAATGTTCATTGGTGTATTATGTACACTCATGGCATGAAATAGTATTCTCCTGTGTGTCACAGTAACGTATTTTGGGAATTGATCAACTATTATAGCATCGTGTTTTAAATCCAGTATAGGAAAAGGTGACGCACCAGTCACGTGGCCATCAAACAATTTGAGATGTGGTGTATCTCTACCATAGCAATTAATAATTAAAATGTTCCAATACTGACTAAAAGATGTGACCATAGGCTGGCAACTATGTTACCATCGACATCTTTATAATGACTAATGGGTGTAAAATTCATTGAAAAGTTGATAAATTAGAGTTTCATTAACGTCGCATCGGGTGTCACGTTTGAAGGTTGAAATTTAGGATCCTAAACTAGTCACTGAGCTGACACAGAATATATCATAAATTGTATGGACCTCACACAATTAGTCAGATATTAGTACCCAGAGAATCTTTTTGAGTAATTTCAAGTCGCATGCACGAACCGAAGCAAAAGCAGGTCTTCATTCCAACGAACAACGTATACAACGTGAATAGTAATAAAATCACACCCCAAAACCAAAGCTGTTCATAGGTTGACCAACGATCTCGCTGTCAACAACTTACAGAATCAGTCACATCTTTCAGCACCCCGATCATTTAGAGAGACCCGCACCTGCCTCCCTTCTTCAAACCGTCAGTAATCTGCGAAATTGACGTAATGATATAATAGAAGAAAAATGCCATGAACAATATTCGCCTTTCTGTTGGCTTCATGGCGCTTACTTGTTAGGTGGGGTGTTAAGTGGATCTAGTGACCCGGGACAGCAGGGCGCACGCATTCGACGCCGTTCAAAAGTCAGGAAAATCGATAGTTGTTTGAAAAAAAAAGTGTCGATTGAGCTTGGCCATTCCATGAAATGTTATACCTATGCTTGATTGGACATCGAATGTGACTACAACTTAAGTGTCTATGCGTTATTATGCACGGTCATATCAGCGTAAACTTAATAATGATTATGAAGCAGTTGTGTGATACCGAAGGTTACAACGCAGTTATAGGGATTGAAAACGTGTAGTCACAGACAGGGAGTGACAAGCTGCGATGACTCCCAATGGAAAGTCTTTATAGTGTATTCTAATTTAACATATATTGAGGAGTTAATTCAGCAATCGAGCACACGTCCCCTCCACTTCTGCAAATTTACACAGAGGCGTGCGTTAAAAGTTAAAGTCTACTTAGACACGCGCCTGAATCATTTATCTAGTCTTGTAATGCGTAGGTGGGTTATGATGACGTAATGCACTATGGGTAGTTACAGCCCTCTTGTTGTTCAATACAAACTCTATACCACCGAAAAAATCGATAGACCATCTTTATTGTCACCTAATGATAGCAGAAAACACAAATACGGGTCTTGCGGACTTGTTGATTGGCAGGCAGCTCACGAGTTCTGTCCCTCCCCACCTGTTAGAGCGAGAGTCGTCCTGAATAAAAAAAAAACACGAATAAGAATATTATTGATTTGTTGGTCCATTCAAGAACATTTTCCTTTCAAGCAGATCTGCAGTGTATTATTGTGAGGGTCCCACCTTTGACGGTCGATTCGACGGATGATCACGTGAAAGGTTCACACATCGCCAACGTCCAGTCACGTGGTCATGGCAGGTTCTGCATAGAGTTTCTAGCATGTTGTCAACTGCTTTGTCGTCCATTGAGAAATATTGACATTAGACATTGCATTCTGCACCCCATGTCGTAACCTCATCTGTTTGTTCTGTCAATGACAAATTAGAAAATCCATAATGTCGTGTGAGCGAGTCCGCTTTGCACAGAAGTCAGGGCTTTGTGTTATCTCGTTAAGAACGGTTTAATGTAGTAACACTATTGTCGCTGGCGTTCGCTTTTTTCACATCGCTGATTGTATAATGAATGGGTATCTGGGATAAGAATGTTCAGACGTGTGATTGAAGCCATACTCTACACGGTTTATTAGGTTAATAGTGTGTACAATCAAGAATAAACTCGCATCACAGCCAGTGATATTTTGAAATTTGGTTAAATTATTCCAAGTATTTGAAAGTCAGAAGAAAAAAAACATAACACGTGACCCCGGAGAACTAGTAAATTATGAACCTTAATTTTATGTATATTGACTATTTGTTGATTTAAAAAGGAAAACACGTTCGTACTTATTTTAGGAAAAGCGTTGTCCATGCGTCATCGATTGAGGTTCCTTAGTTTAATGCCAAGACTTTGAAAAGTGGTTTATGGCTTATATATAAATAACATTACTGATTCTGTGAACGGTTACCACATCCAAATGAATGAATCGTACTTTCAAACTGACTAATGAATGAATCGTACTTTAAAACTGACAAATGAACGAATCGTAATTTCACACTGACTAATGAATGAATCGTACTTTAAAACTGACCAATGAACGAATCGTAATTTCACACTGACTAATGAATGAATCGTACTTTAAAACTGACAAATGAACGAATCGTAATTTCACACTGACTAATGAATGAATCGTACTTTCAAACTGACCAATGAACGAATCGTACTTTCAAACTGACTAATGAATGAATCGTACTTTAAAACTGACCAATAAACGATTCGTACTTTCAAACTGACAAATGAACGAATCGTACTTTTAAACTGACCAATGAACGAATCGTACTTTCAAAATGACCAATGAACGAATCGTACTTTTAAACTGACCAATGAACGAATCGTACGTTTCAACTGACCAATGAACGAATCGTACTTTCAAAATGACCAATGAACGAATCGTACTTTTAAACTGACAAATGAACGAATCGTAATATCAAACTGACAAATGAACGAATCGTAA